CATTGGTTTTATATAATGTATGTCCTTTTGTGATTGACTAATTTCACTCAGCACTCAGGTTCAACCATGTGAGGTGTTCCACAGATTCGTCATTATTACTCAACATTTTGTAGTATTCCATTGTGTGGATACATCCCAGTTTAACCATTCTTCTGTCTTTGGTCTTTTTGATGTCTCTTGTAGACAGCAGATTGAACGATCCTTTTTTCTTATCCATTCCTCTCTTTATGCCTCTTAACTCTTAAAGTTCATCCATTTGCATTCAGTGTTCAGTGTAATTGTCATTTTTCTTTGTGTTTTGTGTGGTGCTGCTGGATCCTTTTTTCCACATAATTTTCTATGTTTATTTTGTTTGTGAGATTTCTTGTTATTTTCATTTCTCTTGTGTTAATGGTTCTTAAATCTGATTTTCCTCTTAACTTGATCAGCAGGTGTATTTTTGTTTTGTTTTTTTAGTTTACCCAGTGTTTGATTAACATTTTCCCTACTTATAACAGTCTGATTTATCTTGAAACTCGCTTGACTTCCTTGCCTTTTGTAAGTTCTGTATCGACACCATTCCCTCTGTTTGCTTTGTAGTTGACTTAGACTTCATTATACATTGATATCTCTGGTTCCCTGTTTTCAGTCTTGTAGGTTGGTTTCACTTTAAATACTTCTGTATCTGGATTGAGTTCTGGGTGGTGTTGTCATGAATGGTAATCTCAGGTTGTTGTCTGCTGTTGTTGGTTCTCAGTCCAAAGAACAAACACCCTTCAGAATTTTTTGCAGAGTTGGGCTGGTCATTGCAAATTCCTTTAATTTCTGTTTATCTGGAAATGTCCTAATTTTGCCATCACTGAGGGACAGCTTTTCTGGGTGTATGATTGTTGGCTGGGAGTCTGTTTCTCTCAGAGGTTTTACTGTCCTCCCCTCGCCTTCTTGGCTGCATGGTTTCTGCTGAGAAATCAAATTTCAGTGTTATTGGTGCTCCTTTGTAGCTAACGTTTCGTTTTTCCCGAATTGCCTTCAGTATTCTTTCCTTGTCTTTGATTTTGGAAAGTTTAATTATAATACGTCTTGCTGATTTTCTTTTGGGATCTATCCTGTTTGGGGTTTATTCAGCTTCTTGCATCTTCTCGTCTTTCATGATGTTAGGGAAGTTTTCTTCTAACAACTCTTTGGCAGTTTTCTCGGTGCTTGTGTCTTCCGGTTCTGGAATTGTCATCGCCTGTAAGCTGTTCCTCTTCATGGTGTTCCACAGAACTCTTAGGCTCTTTTTGGATTTTTCCATTCTTTTCTCTGATTGTTCTAGCATACCAGTGTTGAGAGATTTCTCTTCGAGCTCTCTAATTCCATTGCTCTGCATGTACTTTTTGGCCCTTTCAATATGTTGTCCATTACTGAGATCTAAGTATTAAACTTCTGGATTCCTAATCGCAGGTATTTGTATTGTTTCAAAATTTGCATTTATTTTGTCTGTCTGTTCTTACAGTGTTTTCTTGAGTTCTTCCAAAGTTTGATTGTGTTCTTGCTTGCGTCAATCTTTCTGTTGGTCCTTTGAAGGTACCTAATTGTCAGTCTTTCAATTCTTTTTCAGTTAGCCCTGTTACCTTGTCTTCCTCAGAAACGCCTTCTGGTTCTGCATCTTGGTCATTTGTTTTAGCCATTCGTTCATTTCTTCATGTGAGCTCAAGTTGCCTGTTGTCGCTAGGACATTGTAAGGTGGTCGTATGTGTAAAAACAAGCAGTGCAGCTGTTGGATCCAGAGGGGAGAAATCTCTTGGTGGGGGGGGGGGTCTTGCAACTCAAGGAGGTCACGCGGTGGTTTTGGAAGGGATGTGACAGCAGAGTTCCCAGCCCCGAGATGGAGTTCCTGCTGGCCTTGATGTTGTCTCTGTTTAGGCCACTGAATCCAGAAGTGGTGCGTGGGGGCCCTTCATGGAGCTGCTTTCATTGTCTGTTAGGCTATGGGGAATCTGGGGGCAAGGTGACTGGTTAAATGCTGCTGTGGTGGCTCTGTGGGTATCATAGGTCTGGAGCTGAGCCTGTCTGAATCCTGGCACCAAAACAGCACACCAAACCACCTCAGCCGGCTTCAACCTCACACCGGCATGGCTCCCAACCACGTGTCTCCTAACCTCCCAGAGCGCAAGGTCTGTGCTGGGGGTGAATGAGGGTGGGAGCTGGCCACACTTACGGTCAACAGGGGAGCGTGAGGAGAAGGAAGAAACTGCGCCGTATCTGTTGCCCGCATGAATCAGCTCGGCCAGGCCTCCATCCGCTGCCAAACCACTCACAAGCTAGGTGAGCCGTGCCTGGCGGCACTCGCCCTCAGTCTCCCTGGCTCATCATCCTTGCTCAATGTCACCTAGCAAGCTCTCCATCCATGGCTCTCACCTTTTTTCTGAAGTTCAGGGTGCTAGAATTTTCATCTGTGACTGTTCCATGTCTTTGTTGTAGAGGATCCATGTAATGCGTCTGCCTAGTCCGCCATCTTGCCGGAAATCTCTTGTTAAAAGACTTCAATGCTCCTTTGGTTCTTGTTTTGCGGTTGTTGTGTGCTGTTGACTCTATTCCAGCTCAGAGTGACCATGTAGGACACAGCTGAACTGCCCAATAGACTCTCCTAAGCTGCCAATGCACTGGACTGAAAG